TATATGACGCAGCAGCTGAACACATTCATACAAGCGTGTATCTGACTGACAGGAAATTTATCATGAAAGTCTGTAAGTCAGCTACAACATCCTTTTGTTTACACGTTTCGGGTTCTAAACAAGGCAATACTCCAAATAATATGTTTATAATGTACAAAAATAGGAGATCATGTTATGTATATTGTCTGGCCTTCCCTCCTTCTACACAAAGTCGCGATAACGTTGAGTTAATCGTCTGGCCTTCCTTACTTCTACACAAAGAGACGATGACGTTGAGTATATCGTCTGGCCTTCCTTACTTCTACACAATCGTCAAGCCTTCCTTACTTCTACACAAAGTGGCGATAACGTTGAGTATATAATAGTTAATCGTCTGACCTTCCATCCTTCTACACAAAGTGTCGTTAACATTAAGTGTATCGTCTGGCCTTCCCTCCTTCTACACAAAGTGGCGATAACGTTGAGTTAATCGTCTGGCCTTCTTTACTTCTACATAAAGTGGCGATGACGTTGAGTCAATCGTCAAGCCTTCCTTACTTCTACACAAAGTGGCGATAACGTTGAGTATACCATCTGGCCTTCCCTCCTTCTACACAATGTGTCGATAACGTTGAGTATACCGTCTGGCCTTCCCTTTACACAAACTGTCAATAACGTTGAGTATACCGTCAAGCTTTCCCTCCCTCTACACAAAGTGTCGATAATGTTGAGTTATTCGTCTTGCCTTCCCTTCTTCTACACAAAAGCTTACATACTTTGATTTGAAGGGTGACATCAGAATGAGCTCCATATAAGATACATGGAACGCTTACGATGAAAAAAAAAATGTTTAAAATGATATCGTGGTCACACAGGAATATCTAAAAAAAGTCAGTCCACGGATGTCATCATGAACATTTTTTGTCCATGTTTTGACACTATTTCCGTTTCTGAAATTCGTCATACTGATTTTCCATCATAACACCTCGAGTGTGATCGTACAAGTCATTTACATCTGTATCTCTGTCGCGCTTGTCAAACGTGTCATACTCCCCTGTGTCATTCATTCTTCTTGCGTGAGAATACATGCCGTTGTCATCATTTTCCGCGCGCTTCCCGCCGAGTACACTGTAACCATAGTGATCAGTTGCCGTCGTTTGCGTTGTGGATCCGGATCTAGGGCCACTGAAGTCAGACTGCGCTAAGCTATACATCCCCTCCTCCTCTCCATTGGTCAATTGATTGGTAGCTTGGTTTCCTTTTACGTTCACATCGGGTAAACTGTATTCGTTATTGAGAACTGCTTCACTGTAGTTAAGATCAACATTCCGTTTGTCACAATATACCCCTTGCCCACACTTGGATTTCGTTTTTCTCCTCCTATTAATTAATGTATAAATATATAATCTGTTACACCCGTTTGCATAAAAACATCGTCGCTAAATCGCCTCAGTTTCGTTAACTGTATTAATAGGTAGATGTGGACCCATCAGAAGAAAGTTGAAATTGATATGCTATAATTATGTACATATACAAATGTATAAAATATCGGTTTTGTAACGTCATAGAAACGGATCCTTAAATGATTGACAGCATATATTCTAGTATCTACATCATGAAATGAACATCATAATAAAAAACCATTTCTTTCGTAATTGGTGAAAACTAAATAGCGTTGGTACTGACAGGGATATATAGTTCTAAAGATGAGAATATTTGTTTAGAAAATGCGATTGTATATTTCGTTGAAAGACGAATGTGACTGACTATAGAGGTACAACAGACGCTGTCCAATTAGACTTACCTTTTATAACAGAGGCCTGCCACGATCAAAATGATAACTAGGACTGCAATGGACGCACCGACGTAAATCGGCCATAACAGCGGATCTAAAGATAGAAACATTAAACATCACGACCCCTGTTGACTTAGTGACATGCTGTACATGGTACTACACGACTGTAAGATGTGACAACTACAGGACAGAAGTATTATCTGATGGTCGTTTTCCTACTCTACTCGAGACAACGTTACGTCTACGCTATTATTTCACCCCGCTGCAATGTCACATTAATGGGGTATTGTAACATTATATTTTTATTTCACCTGACACGATGTGTCTGTGAGGTTATTTTATGGTGCTTTGCCCGCCGTCCGTTCGTCAACATTTTTTTTATAACTTCTTCTTGAAAACTGAAGTCAAGTCCAAGGTCCTGATGTATGGAAGTAATGTATCTTGGATGGAGTGCTATAAAATTTCCTCATATAAATAATCTTGATATAATTTAAAGGTCACATGGATCAAATATGTTAAAGCAACATTTTCAAAAGAACCGGAGGAATGCTAACTGATTAAGATATGTAAACCAGAAGTGAATTTCCTTCTAATTGATTATGCATGGATCAGAGATCATCTTAAAAGCTGGACATGGTCAAAGGTTTACCTAGACAATAATGGATGAAAACTCACCAGGCCTTGGCTCCTGATATTTGTCAGTAGAAATATCAGACAGAGTGCTATAAAGTTTCCCCTTATCAAACAAATTGATATGTGAATAATTTATCACCGAAACAAGGAGCTCATCACAAACACCGAACCCAAGGTACTCCGTACGACTTATGATTACCCAGTGTTGAAACGTAGTTTAATGTGTTATTAGAGGTTAANCTAAAACGAAAACATATGATCCAACTTAAAGAGTTTTAATTAAAAGATATAAAAGTGTGTTAATTTATGTGCTTACCTGCAGCTGGTAACAAGATGTCCTTGTCCACCTGTTCCTGTCGGCTTGACGGGTGACAGCTGGAACTGTTGGCACTATTGGTACTGCTAATCTCTGATGGAATAAAGGCATTTTAATTACACTATCACTGACAGAGTACTCAGGAACCACATCAGCTTATCAGTCATTTACAACAACAGACATAAATTCTCGTAGTATACTGACAAAGATCCAAAAATATGGATGCAATATTTACTACTAACGTAATTAAATGTAACCCGCATAATATCAAATACAATTTTTTCCAACAGTTTCAATAAATTCACGTATCAAAAACAGTTTCAGAACTGGTATGAATGCAACGAAGATAAAGAGGTTTATGAAATTCATTCCTAAAACTTATAAAAAATGTATTATTACATGTAACATTCTACAACTATATAGCATTGAGATTTGTTTAGTACGATCGGACTTATCATGATTTTTTAACGAAAAATACACAAATCTTGTATTAAAGAAATAGTTTAAAATATTTGTTTTAAACAGGAATAAAAAGGCTAGTGTTTAAGAATTACAACGTAGTCAACTTACCGTTACTGACGCAGAGGAAACTATAGGTTTCTGAGCAGTTTGTTTGGTTTACATACAACGCTCCGTTAGACTCGATACCAAAGGGGCACAGCTGTTCTTGTGTGATTTCTACAACAGAGTTTAATTTTGTTTTGATAAAATGTATTAAATATGTAATAAATTGTAAGTGCACCTATATAATTGCAGAAATGTATTTAAGACTGTTTGACGCAAAAGGAATAGAGTCTTATCTTTTGTATGACTGACGTTACGGGTTTATAGTTTAATATGAATATCAATAATATTTTCTCTGTCGGGTTTGCGAAGATGTTTAATTCATTCAGGAAAACTGTAAACATATACAGTATAAAATATAACCATATTTAATGACACTCGCTTAAGATATAATTAATTAGCCCCGTTATAATTTAATCAGCAACGCTTTGGCTTTATAAAGGAATTTGATAAAATAGGAAGGGAAGTTTAATTGCATTCAATGGTATCACATCAATACATGTATAATCACTTTGACAATGTCTATCGTGCTGTTGTCCGTGTCAACCTCTATTTGAAGAGGCCGCGACGGTCAGAGCTACAGGGATTACTCGGCTACAGGTAGTTGAGGTTGAAAACAATGAGACTTCCAAATGTGATGGTCTTTACCGTTTTCCTTGTCCTGTTCTGACAACTTTTCAAGCCACATGTTTGTATCAATCGTCACACATTCGGGGAACAAATGTCGAACTTCATCAGAGGAAGCCAAATATCCACTGTGGTTTGTAGTACAGAAACCTCTTGCTGATTCGAAGGTTTGGACCGTGGACACGAAAACAGCAGAAAATGAGGATCCTGGGAAGTGAAGTCCAAAATATAATAAGATGAATAAGTAAGTTATTCCTATACAACGGATCTCCTCATTATAACTATACATATGCTTGCCACCGTCTGTGTTTTACTTTTGCTATCATCACAAACATGTTAACGAAGGATGACAATACCCCAAAAAATATCGCCAAAAAACCATTTTATTAATTATTTGAAAATTCAGAAGATGAATTTATTCATTTATATCTATGTAAAAGAAAGAATATCGATAGGTGTTCTTACAAACGATATTAAGACCCGGTGCGCACGTGAGATCTATTTTATAAGAAACTCTGATGTCAACATTTAGAGTTCAGGGTTTGTGCAAATACCAGCACCCAGAACGGATTACGGCTTGAACTTTGTAATCAATAGAACGCTTCTTTTCGGGCATTTTACTGTTTCGTGATCTTAGATTTAAGGATGAATAAAGATATTACTTTAATCTGTGTTTATTTCTATCGTCCAAAACAGAAGACATAGTCCTCACACGCCTCATTGTCTAACAACACACATTTGTATTTAATGCTATGGAAATTCGTAAATTTATTCTCTGCGACCAGAAATGTTTATGGCGTTGAATTCTAAACTTTATCTTTATAAAACATAAACTTTCTATACAATAAAAGGCCCATTTAAAAAAAAAAATCACCTAGAAAAGTAATCCGTTTTTAGGTACTGATTTGATTTTGGTCCTCACTCTTTAATGTCAGAATAATGGATATATTGCAAACCCCTCCTTAACGCGATGGCCTTCACCATATTATTTAAACATAATCTACCTTTACCAAAAAGACAATTCAACGTTCAAATTCTTATTAAATATAATACATATTTTCGACGTACGCTGTTGACATTCGCTTGTTCTTGTGTTCCAAAATTCAACGTCGGTTCCACATGTACAATATCTGAATCCGGTTCCTTTGCAAACGAGGTTTCTGATGCAATGGTCATCTGATTCACAGCTTTCATTTATTAGAGACACTACAAGCGAGAACATAATAAATAGCCATAGTTAACCCTTTCACCACTGTAGACCATAATCGACTAATCCAGATCAATGCATTGTAGAGTCTACTAAAGTTACATAGGGGTGAGAGAGGGTTAAGGATTACTGTCCCATTGCAAGAAAAATACTAGAGTTCCACTGTCATTTTTCACACGTACTGTATACCCTCCCCTCCTAATTTCGTTTTAGACAGAACTATTGAGGGGCTTTGCCGCCAGGGATCTCCCACCTTTCAGGTAGCTTAATTGGTTACCATTGTGCTCAGAGGTCTAGGGTTCGAATCCCGATCTGACGCCTTTACAACACTTTTACTGACGTTAAACTTTTTCACGCTTCAAATTTTCTAAAGGTTTTGATGTCTTTCCAGAAATGATTCATGAAATTATACGGGTGTAGGTATATGAAAAAAAATTACTCGTGTAGGTAAAAAAGTTTCTAATTCATAGTTACTGGTTTGGGAGTGGTATGGGTGTCCTTAGTAATAACCTTGAATCACCTATTCACCGTCAATAATCAATGGAAGGACATTTTGTTTTAATGACTTTCCTTTACACATTTTCGAATGGTAGAATCATGAAAATTTAACATATGTATACTATTAAGTAATTTTAAGAGTTATCTTCCTTGGATCATAACTCAAAAATTATGAACGTTTTCTGTCGTTAATTGGATGAAACAAAGAAAAGTAACAGAAAAGAATATTAACCACAAAGAAATGTTGTATTTCTTCTCATAAAGTCAGTTAAACGGATATTCTAATTCTGTATGAGAAAGAAATAAAGACAAGTACGATTATATTAAGACAAAGGCGGAGTTCGTGACGTAATCAACAAATTAGTTACATGATTTTAAGGAGTCAAAATCTAGGTCAATAGTCAAGGCACCTTTTTTTCCAACCGCAATATCAGAAAGTGACCCGTTCGATCTCTGTTAGACTAAGTTCAACTCAAACTATTTGTATTAAAGCGCCACCTTAACATACATTTTCTATCATTATCATATGCAAAAACATAAAATTAAGATTTCAAAATAATAGAATATCTTTAAAATTGGTTGTATGGATACATCATGACGTGTTCACGGTAGTACATTACCTCTAATAATTGGGAACATTACACGGATAATTCAAACATTGACTTTCTGAGACTGTAAGGTTGATCTTTTTATGTTATATCAAATAATACAATCATTTTCACTGTAGAAATGAAAAATGATGAATAAATATAAGTGATATTGTTTGTAAACATACTTTTTATGCAGGTTTCTGTCTTCCGATTCCACACGTTCCCTTTTTTACACCTGCAAACTGGACCAGAAACCTCGTCTGTGCATACCAAAGTGTCATTGCAGCTGTTGTGCATACTGGATGCACATTTCGTCTCGAAACTCGATCCTTCACAGAGAGAAATACTTCATTCATTCGGGACAGTCGTATACATGAGAAACTTAAGCAATTTGAGTATTTTTATTCTAAATTGGTTTTCCTCGAGTGAAATACTCCTTCTCTGCAGCTGACCTACAGGTTGAATGACATTTTCTACTGGACTTTTAAAGGTCACGCAGTTGTAGGTATGCATTAATTGATAAAATTAACCTTTTTTGTTTTAATTTACTAATCTTGAGTAATATAATCTTTCACTGGACAATTTTCGATAATTTGTCAAATATAAGAAATTGACATATTTTTATACATGATATTGATAAAATATAAAAACAAATGAAGCCTTGAAACAAATTAAGCATCCTCATATACTGTAAAATTATGTTTTCTGCGGAGTGCAAATTTTTGCGGTCATAGCTTTTTTTCGCGAATTTAATAACAATGTCCATCCTTACCATAGCACATTTGTATTGACCAGTAAACATAAAATCCGCGAATAATAGATTACACGAAACTCACACTCAAATTGTGTTTAATGACTAATCCTTTGAATAACCGCAGCAACGCGATTGAAAATATTTCAATCAGAAAATAATCGAGCCTTCACCTATCCGATTGTCATACTATATAGCTATCAAACCACCACTAATCTTAATGTAATCCTATCAAGTTATCACTGATTCGATTGTCATACTATCAAGTTATCACTGATTCGATTGTCATACTATCAAACCACCACTAATCTGAATGTACCACTAATTAGATTGTCATACTATCAAGTTATCACTGATTCGATTGTCATAGTATCAAAACCACCACTAATCCGAATGTCACGTACAATCAAATCATCACTAATTCGATTGTCATACTATCAATTTACATTTAATCCTATTGTCATACTATCAAACAACCGTTAATCTGAATGTCATATTATCAAGTTATTACTGATTCGATTGTCATACTATCAAGTTATCATTGGTTCGATTGTCATCCTATCAGGTTATCACTGGTTCGATTGTCATCCTAGCAAGTTATCACTTATGCGATTGTCATACTATCAAACAACCGTTAATCTGAATGCCATATTATCAAGTTATCACTGAATCGATTGTCATACTATCAAGTTATCACTGATTCGATTGTCATACTAGCAAGTTACAGTACCACCGAACCGTTCTATTGTCAAACTATCAAACTTCCACTTATTCAATTGTCATGATACGAAATCACAGGCAATGCATACATCTGTAAATGATTATGGTTTACAAATGTTGAAAACAAGAGGCCCATAGGGCCTGTATCGCTCACCTGACTACTCCGAATGTTATGCTATCAAAATTCCACTATTCCGATTGTCATACCATTAATTTATTTGTCATACCATTAATTATTTGTCATACTTTCGAACTATGATTTTAGGGCACATTTGTCTTTTTTATACATAGTTGTCATGTTATCTCACACTTCCTTGTTTAGCAAGGGACGAGGGTGGCTAGACTATCGACGCTGACTTATATATGTATACATATTCAATGCGGGGAACCCACGTGACTTTTGGATATCGTACACGACGTTTTCACTATGAAAATATATCGTGCCATTCTGCAGGCTATTTTAAACCAATGTAAATGGGTAATATTTTAAGCCCTGATAACAAGTACTTTTCATTGCGATATCTTCAAAAACATAAGAAAAGTGCGTACGATATCTTCATCAAATCGATAGCTCACGACCGGTTGTTTGAGCATCAATTGAAAACGGGAAAATATCCCGAAGAATTGGTTGCACATCATAAAAGACGAAACTTCGGACCTTTCTTTTGGCCATGTTTGGAGAAAATCCGTACAACAGAAACAAAGTTATGATGGAAAACACCTTACCAAGCGGGACTGCGACCATAGTGAAAACGATGTGTACGATATCCAATAGTCACGCGGGTTCCTCGCATTGATATTTCTTGCTTGTTTCAAACAGTTTTGACATCGACGTATATACCCTATCTTTAATATTTGACTCGTCGAGTTCTCGTTGAAATGGCTACATCAACATAATCGAGTAAAATACACATACATTTGTATTTGATAAAATTAATATTACATATTTACTTGCAAGTACCTTATCTGTATCAGTAGATTATTTCAATGAGTATAAGGGTATATGAAAGCCATTGTCTCAAAAAGTAAAGTATAGTTATGTACACGTTACTTCATACAGTTGAAATGAAAATGAAACAAAACTGGTTCAGTTAAAAAAAATACTTATCATATATGCTTCCTTAATTGTTTATTTGGCGTTTAACACCCTTTGCCACAGCGTACAAAGTATGATACCTTAGGGGAAGTGTATGGAGGTGAGGAAAAAAAAGAAAAATATACCAAACATTACAACGGAGGGAGCAGATAATGTTGTTTTTTTCCAATGCCCCTTTTATAATAGGTAGCAGAGTACAGTAGAAATGGCTTGACCCTAAAAATAAAGGGCATGTCTCGGATAAACATGAATAACGGATTCATCCTGCACAACACACCTACATATATAGATATATTTATAAACTACATTATGAATACGTTGTTTTTTTATAAGAATGAATATTTTTCAAAAAGTAAGTTCCCCAGATTTGGGACTTGTGAAAACCATGGTTACCACATCAAAAAACGCCAAAGAATGCAAAAAAAACATGATTTTTAACCCAAAACTTGACCCACGCAAGTAGTTTTTTTTTTCTTAAAACCTGTCTTAAATTAAATATCACCTACTCGTTCACAGATACTCACGTTTTAGCATAGATCGTCAAACTACAATTTTCACAATATTTACACATGTGCTGAGTACAAAATAAAGACTACATGAAAAGCTAGCTTTTGTTGTGTAGACACAGATTCGTAAATGGCCAAAATGTAGTCTCAAACCAAATTCGATTTTTTTTCAAATATGAAGCCCACATAGTTCAATTTATCATGTATATGCCAATTTTAAAGCTGATGTTTTTAAAAACTTTTGATACATGTAATATTACAGGGGTTATTCATTGTACAAAAATATCACCCATGGCCATCGTACGCTACTGTACACTGCTACTATAGGACAAAATAGAACACTACCAATTTCGAAAGGTCCCAAATTAGTCGCCTCTTTCGATAACATGCATAGCGACAATGCAGACACATTCTTTCCTCGAACATGCACGTGTCTGTTGTAAATGCAAATTGCACCTGTCAATGAAATGTACATGTATTACTAAGTGATAAAAGGAAACAATTACAGCCTACATGTATACATAATGTCTTCGAGGCCAAAGCTGCTAACGACTTTTGTATATGACTATATAGATACATAATTTGTATATGAATTTACATATATACATATTTTGTATATGAATATATTATACATGTTTTGTATATGACAATATTCATATTTTGTATAAGAATATATATATATATATAAACATATACGTACTATGTCTAGCGTTCATAGTACAAATAGCACAGCATTTTAAAACAGGTTAGCATTAGGATACAGAAAAAAGTCTTAAAATTTTCAAGTACATTTACTATATGCACAGGCGATCAAAATATTTCATACTGATAGTCCGATTAACGTACACAATTACATAAATCGCCTCTGATGACGACGCACCCGACTAATAACCAATACTTGTTACTTAAACACAAACCTAAATAAAACAATCGAACGTACTTTCTTTACAGGTATTTTCATCTGAATTCCAGAACGAGTTGGCTTCGTCGTTACATCTGCACAAGTGATCTCCTACATTTTTACAAACCAAACCATCGATACAGCTTGCCTTGTCTGTGCAGGTGTCGTTGAAAGTCAGCTCTGTTATAAGTAAAAATGATATCGCAATTGGCAATGCAATTCTCACATTTTATTTAGAGCCTGTATTGTTTGAAACACATCATAATAACATATACGTAACATTAGACCGACAACGTAACAGATTAAGAACGCGTGCATAAACATCACATAGAATTTAAATAGCATAGCCCCGGCACAGCATACAACATATCAATGATTTTGTAGTAGCGAAATATAACATGATCGTCCCATATTTTACTTTAGATCTTTGACAAAGCATTGTTTTGATGATACAAGTGACCATCGCCACTGCAACCAAATTCAGTGCGGTTTAGGAAGTTTGCGTGACAGTTGAAGAGATTGAAAAAATACAGACAGTCAAAATGTCACAAAATACTTCCTGTGTGCTTAAAGGCGTGGCAGCATAGATGAAGATTTTTTTTTTAATATTTCTGTATGTTTGTCATGCTGGCCCAAGTTGCTCATAGGTTCGTTAACTTAAAACAGCGAGTGGTAAGTGAGATATTCAAATTGTTGTGACTAAAACAAGGACAAAAGCAGAATAGGAATCGATAGTAAATGAAAACACATGGAACCGAGGAGACAACAAAACAAAAGGAAGAACACTGATCAGAGGAGACACCCAAAACAATAGGAAGAACACTAGAATCCGAGTAGACACCCAAAACAAAAGGAACAAAAGAAGGATCCGAACAGACACTCAAAACAAAAGGAAGGACATTAGGATCCCAACAGACACCAAAAACAAAAGGAGGAAAACAAGGATCCGAGGAAACACCCAAAACAAAAGGAGGGACACCATGATTCGAACAGACAAAACAAAACAAAAGGTTCCAACACAAGGTTCCGAAGAGACACCAAAAGCAAAAGGAAGAACACAAGGATCTGAAGAGACACCAAAAACAAAAGGAATACCACAAGGATCCGAGGAGACACCCAAAAAAAGGAAGAACACCAGGATCCGAACAGACACCCAAAACCAAAGGAAAAACACAAGGATCTGAGGAGACACCAAAATCAAAAGGAAGAACACAATGATCCGAACAGACACCCAAAGCAGCAGCAAAGACACTAGGATCTGAGGAGACATCCAAAACAAAAGGAATACCACAAGGATCCAAGGAGACACCCAAAACAAAAGGAAAGAACACAAGAATCTGAAGAGACACCAAAAACAAAAAGAAATAATACTAGGATCTGAAGAAACACCAAAAACAAAAGGAGGACCACAAGGATCCGAGGAGACACCCGAAACAAAAGCAAAAGACACAAGGATCTGAGGAGACACCAAAACCAAAAGGAATACCACAAGAATCCGAGGAGACACTCAAAACAAAAGGAAAGACACAGGATCTTGAAGAGACACCAAAGACAAAAGCAAAAGACACAAGGATCTGAAGAGACACCAAAAACAAAAGGAATGCTACAAGAATCCGAGGAGACATCCAAAACAAAAGGAAAAACACAAGAATCCGAGGAGACACCCAAAACAAAAGGAAAATCACCAGGATCCAAGGAGACACCCAAGCAAACGGAAGACAACAAGGATATGAGGAGACGCCAAAAGCAAAAGGAAGGGCACTATTATCCGAGGAGACATTCAAAACAAATTAAATGACACTAGGATCTGAGGAGACACCTAAAACAAAAGGAAGACCACAAGGATCTGAGGAGACGCCAAAAGCAAAAGGAAGGA